AATATCATTATCAATGGGGATATTTAAATTTTCCTGATCATTTTCAGCAATATTTTGATTGCCATCATTATTCTCCTCAAATAATCTGTCAATATCTTGTTCAGGATGCTGATTCCTGACATCAACACCTGGAATATAATCTTTTAATCTACTCGCGTTGACATAAGATTTCAACTCTTTGTGATTTGAACATCTTCGAAGTTTGTATGTAAAATTTGGTCCTAATTCAGATATGTAATATGGACCATCATATTTATCAATAAGCTTAGGCGATTTACCTATTGGAGTTTTAAATTGCTGTAAAAGAACCATTTGGTTTTATCGAAATGAGGGTTCTTTTGCTCGTTCGTCATATCTTTCTTTAGATTTCGCTTGTTTCTCCTCAATATTTTTATTTGCAATCTCGTGCGTGATTTTTAAATTCTCTAGAATGTCGCGAATATGTTCTTTAGCGTCAGCTTGTAGAAGTTTTTCGGTGTTACCCGTAAATCAAAAGGCAGGTTCATTTCACGACCGAAAGCCAAATAATAGGGGGAGTGGTCTGTAGATTGAGTACATGGCGAATTTCATAATGCCATCAGAATACCAAGAATTAATTTTGGCCAATTGTTTTGCTCTTTATCAGAGTAAGTAGAGTTGCTGGCATGATAGTTCGATTATTCCTCTCGCAAAAACTGTTTTACTGGGGATGATAAGCCGAAGTGAAATGGTTTTTTTACATCTGAAAATTTAACAAAGGGATAAAAGACGAGGTTTTATGTAAATTGTTTCCCAAAATCAGACACAAGTTTAAGTGGTGCTCCGTATCTTGAAAAGATTTGTTCAAATAAATTTTTTGCAACCTGTTTGCTTTCTTGATTTTGCGTAGGGAAAAGCTTTAACCCATCTTGTAAATGAATCTACAACAAGAAGCAAGTACTGATAACCCTCTGTTGTTTTGCTTAATTTTAAAAAGTCAATATGCCATCGCTCAAATGGACCATCAATTGGCATTGATGTTAAAGGTGGAGATCCATTGTGTTTGTGTTTTTTTTTTTATTCTTTGACACCTTTCACATGATTGAATGTAATCATAAATTTCCTGATGCATGCGTGGCCAGTGATACTTTTGCTTGAGAGCTGCCATGACCTTTTCTACCCCGAAATGAGCTCCTCCAGCTTTATTGTCATGATAAGCTGTGAGTGCCTCTAGACGAAGTGTTTTAGGTAAAGCTAATTTCTTTATCCAGCGATCGTCTTCCTTGACCTTTCTGGTTCGTCTCTAGAACCAGTGATAGAGCACACCATTACAAATACTGTATAGTCTGATTGTGCTATAACCTTTTTACGTTCCTTGCTAGTGTGGGAAGAGTTTCCGACTCTAGATACATGTATATGCCCCTGAAGTCAGGGCATTCCTTTTGAAGATTTCCTATATCTTCGTGTTCTAAACTCAAGTTTGGTTCAATTTTGTCAGGTTCCACAATGGTGACCTGTCACTGCTCCATAGTGGAACTCGACCTCTATTGTCGTTCCATGTTCAAATGCTTCAATGACATGAGTTTCTGTGACCATTTCATTCTGTTCTTGATAAGGTCGCCTGCTGAGAGCATCGGCAACAACATTACTTTTTCCCTCTTTGTGAATTATCTTAAATTTGTACCCTTGCAGCTCAAGGGACCACCTGGCTAGTCTGCCTGTTGTGGATTTTTGCGACATCAAATATTGTAATGGTTTGTGGTCTGTGAAGACCAAGAATTCATTATTTGAAAGGTAAGTTTTATATTCCCTTATACCCTCAATCACAGCAAGACATTCAACATCTGATGCTGACCAATTTCTTTCTGGTTTTGATAGTAATCTACCCCCATAACCAATAACATGTTCCCTGTTACCCTTATCTTTTTTAAGAAAGTATGTACCCCATTGCTGAATTAGATGCATCAGTGGTAAGAATGGAAGGTTTATTCATATTTGGATAAGCAAGAATGGGTACTTTTGTTAACTTTCTTTTTAAAGTTTCGAAAGAGATTTGACATGCTTCTGTCCTAATGAAATTTTCATCTTTTCTTAACAATTTGTTCAGAGGCTCTACCAATGTTGAAAAGCTTTTGATAAATCGTCTGTAATAATTGCACATTCCCAAAAATGATCTGATATCTTTTACTTTTTGTGGTATAGGGAAAGTGTCAATTATTTTTGTTTTATTTGGATAGACTGAATGCCTTCTTTTTGAAATAAGGTGCCCCAGGAATTTAACCTCTTTAGCCGCAAAATTACATTTCTTTGGATTTAAAGTTAAACCTGCATTTCGCAAGCGACCAAACAGATCTTTTAGATGGTTTAAATGAGAATCAAAATCCTTTGAAAAGACACAAATGTCATCCACATAAACCAACATGTTTTTTTCCAATGTAATCCCCTTGGGGTTTTTTTTATAGCCATTTGAAATGAAACACAACTGGGTACAGTCCACTAATTGTTTTCCATAGGCGACAATGTTAACGTTTGGTCTCATAGCGATGTCCTCAAATTTTCAGTTCAGCAGTGAGTGACCCCTCAAATCAAAGCACATTAAATTGTCTTTCCTTAGTTAAAATCTCAAGGTGGCATGTCAGATTCGTTTTCCGGCAAAATGTGTCTGTCTGCGGGAACCTCCGAAAATGAAAGTGAAAGTAGGGGATTTCCAGGATTCTCAAAGGCGGTATAATACACAAAATAATCCAGCTTATCTTTTTGACAAAATTACATTTGCTAAGCTATTTTGTAGGAAAGATACTCCTTATCAAGAAAGATGAGGCTCAGTTTAGTACATTATCACATTTTTTTTTTAGTCAAGTCTGAAAATTAAGGAATTTGCTATTTTTTCTGCACTACTTTCTTCTAACCGATTTTAAAAATAATTAGTGGGGTGTCAATATTGGAAAAGCATTTTTTAAGTTTACACTATTTAATCAAATATCTCTTATCTCTACACAATATGCAATCTATATGCCAAGTTTCATCAAAATTGGTTCATATTTCAAGTTTCTACAGACTTTTGAAAACTTGTTGTAAGACAGCTCATGAATGAAAAAAATTGGTCATTTATTCTACCTCTTCTTTTCCTTCAAATATTGACTATCAAAGAGGTACAGTGAACTTTTTTTTCACACCAATATCTTTCAAATAATGAATTCAAAGGATTTAATGAACAATTTCGTATACGCAATTGCGTATATTTGAATTACGCAATATTTTTGCTGTGAATCGACAACTTTTTTTAACCTCTTTTTATATTACACAATGAAGAACAAGAGAAATTCTACTTCAAATACCCAAAAGAAGGTAAAACAAAATTTTAGGAGCTTGTAACCTTTTAAAAAAAGGTATTCAAATCAAAATGGTCCAGTAATATTTAAAATATAACCAAATAAAAATGACATTATAAGTGAGCTTGTTGTGAGAAAACTGTACGCCAAAATGTCTATGATGTCATAGAGGACTGGCAGCCGTTTCCATGCACTATTATAACAAACAATTCAAATGCATTTCATGAATTGGGAGAGTGCACGAGTTATAGGTAAAATGAAAGGTGATAGAAAAAAACACAGGTTTGCAATAGGAAATACCATCAGAAAAGGGGAGAGTGTCCAAGTCCGGAAAAGAAGCTAAGTGTTTTAAATCTGTTTGGTTACCTAGGTTAACAATTAATGAATTTGAAACTTTGACAAAAAAATCTCATGATGAACAGTCATATGTCATACCGGTCCCAGAAAGTCAAAACAATGTTAAAATATTACGCCCCAATCCTTGCGACCTTGACCCCTTTCCTCATGTCACGACCCCTGACAGTACAGAAATGAGGATTGTGGATAGGGATATGACTGTGTATATGATGAATGACTTGAATGTTTCCCATTCTCAAATTGATTGTGCCACCCCTAACTATGAATTAATGTCTGAAGTAAAGCAGGGTCTAGGGTGGACTTGGACATTCAAGTGCAAAAACTGTCATTTTAAATCTAAAATGTACAAACTTTTTCGAGAGGTCCCTTCTGAGGGACCCGGCCGAAAAGCAGCAGCCATCAATAAGGCAATACAGACTGCTTTGTACCAAACTCCCGTAGGAAATGACCAGGCCCGATTGCTCCTTGCATGTACAGGTATCCCACCCCCATCCCGATCGTCAATGTTCTAATCGTGCAATAAAGTTGGTGAAAAAATTGTTGACCTTGCAGAGTGCGATATGGATGAGAGAATAAACCAATTAAAAGAACGAAATAAATTAATAGGCCTGCCTGAATCTCACCCTATCAATATACAAATGGATGCCTCTTACAATCCCGAAGCATAACAAGCCGTCACAAAATCGCGACAAAGGGGCCTCGCAAGTAATTGGCTTGGCATGCGAAGATGTCACAGACAAACATCAAGTTATTTCTTATCATATGACAAATAAATTGTGCTGGGTGGGAGCATGGCTTCAGGGTGAGGGTTTCCCATGTCCAGTGCCCAAGTGGTCATTTCGGTTGTACAGCAAATAAAAATCCTGTCGAGCCTCTGACCAAAAAGAGTTAGGCTATAAAAAATAGGTGAAAAATTAAGTAAAAAAAAATTGTTGGTACAAAACGTAACCACCGATGGTGATGCAACAAGTGCCGTGGGGCTCGAAAAAACATACAAGACTTTACTTATTCCCTATGGAGAACAAGTCGACTCGCCACAGAGTTTGATAGGGGTCAAAGCCAATTCAGGCATGGTTTAAAAGCAAATTTTAGTGATGAAATGTTCCCCGCAAACACTAAAGTTCAAAAAGCAGAGCTACAAAAAATGTTGTCGAATGACATCAAAGAAAGGTGCAGTGGTATTTTAAAAGCTCTCTTCAAAAAGTACAATGGTGACCTAAAACAAATGTCAAACTCCTTACCGAGAATCGCTGACAAGGTTCTGAAGTGTTACACAGGAAGTTGTAGTGACTCATGTAGGTGGAGCTTAACTCTTTGTGGGGGTGGCAAAAACGAGTTGGTGGTACAGGTATTTGTCGGACTCCGCGCGCACGGTTTAAAATCTGGTGCACTGAAATGTAGCACAAAAGACAAGTTAATCCTTGAATCACTGCTTGAAATGAAGTTGTCAGTTTCTGCATTAAACGAAATGAAGTTAAATTCGACAACAAACAAGTGTGAGTCAGTAAACAGGACTATCTCTCTAAGTCTACCAAAAAATAAAACATACTCACGAAATGCAAAATCCCGAGCCCTATCAGCCATATTAAGGTCGAACAATGGTGTAGATATGGCGATATGTAAAACACTGGCTGCTGTCGGTGCTCCTCTCGGTAAAAAATCCCAGTCACTCAGTGCACTGAAGAAAATGAAAACAAACTCCGAGTACTATAAACAGCATAAAAAGTCAATAAACCAGAAAAAAGCGAGCCATGGCTCGCCATCGAATAGCAAAACAATTTGTTAAAAACAAAAAAGAATGGTTCAATGAAAAATGATTACAAAAAGTTTCAACTTAGACAAAAGTGCCGCCATCACTGTGTACAAGGGTTAAGAAATTAGTGAATACCGATCCCGAGCAACCTGGTTGTAGTTACTGGTAATTAAAAAAAAAAGTGTACCATGTATGAGTTTAAATAAAAATTAAAATGTGTACAAAATAAAAAAAAAGGTGTATGTGTAAATTTAAAGTGTGTTTAAAATAAAAAGGTGAGGAGTTGGTGGAGGAAGTGGAGGCACCCCCCCCCCAAAAAAAAAATCTTTAAAAAAAAATTGCAAGAAAAAAATTCATCAACATTTTGATGTTCTTAATTTGTTATTGCATACATACCAGTCAAATGAAGCTGAATCATGCAGTCAGGATAAGCAGAGTGATGTCTGCACAAACCTTCACCCAAGCAGTTAATACGTTGCATGTTAATAGCATGGGGTTCAAGCATGAGGTGGGAAGGATTAATGCACAGGGGATTGTGACATAATCTAGAGCATTCTAAAGAGTGGGGATGGATTTGCTTTAGTTTAAGTATAAGTGATAATTTAGCAGGTGTATAAGTGTGCCATTCACCATTTGGTAACTTAACTCTTATTTGACCATACAACTTACAACCTCTCTCATGCCATAACCGACACTCTCCATTCATAGAAACTGAGCTATTTTCAAATAATTTTTTGGAATATTTCCTAATAAAAGCATCCATCTTCATCTTACAATAACAGGAAGTGATATAAAATACAATACATACACGGTACGTTTCAGGAATTTCATTATATAAGCTTAAATTGAACAAACATGAATTTTTTGACACTTACTAATATGGGTACAGTCCACTAATTGTTTTCCCATAGGCGACAATGTTAACGTTTGGTCTCATAGTGATGTCCCTAATTTTCGTTCAGCAGTGAGTGACCCCTCAAATCAAAGCACATCAAGTTGTCTTTTCTTGGTTAAAATCACGAGGTGCGGATGTCAATTCGGTTTCCCGGCAAAATGCGTCTGTCTGCAGGAACCTCTGAAAATGAAAGTGAAAGTAGGGGATTTCCAGGATTCTCAAAGGCGGTATAATGCACAAAATAATCCAGCTTATCTTCTTGATAAATTACATTTGCTAAGCTATTTTGTTAGGAAAGATACTCCTTATCAAGAGTATGAGGCTCAGTTTAGCACATTATCACATTTTTTTTTAATCAAGTCTGAAAATTAAGGAATTTGCTATTTTTTCTGCCCAACTGTTTTTTCAGTCCCATACCAAGTCTTTTCCATTCATAAACCCCATTTTGAGTGATATACGCTGCTTTGTGTTTTGTTTCCGGATCCTTTTGTAATTGCTAAAACATAGAATGCAGATCAAAAGTAGAGAAAATTTGAGATTCTGCCTCTGCAATAGTGTCAAAGGCACATTCAAGTCTGGGTAAAGGAAGGGAGAAAGGTTTCGTAATTTTGTTTAGTTTGCGATAATGTACACAAAACCTATATTTTCCATCTTTTTTTTACCAAAACAACAGGGGAATGATATTCACTATTTGATTCTTCAACAATGTCATTTTCTAATAATTCTTGAACTTGTCGATCAATTTCATTTTGTAAATGAGGGGGTTGGCGATAAAAAGGCATGCGGATTGGTGGCGCGTCATAAGTTTCTATTTGTGAGAGCATATCCCAACAGTTTTTCCCAATTCAGATAAATCAGTAGCAAAAACATCTCTGTAGTTCTTTTAAAACATGTGCAATTCCGATTTTTGAGTATCATTTAATTCAGAATTTGTCAAATCAAAGGTGATTGGAGATCTTTGTTTACTGTGCGGTTTTAACTCGACACTTGTTGCATTTATTTGAGTACTTTGCAGGGATTTAAATGGTATTATCTCATCATTGTGGACACAGTCTACTGTGACAACAATTGTATTATTACTGAGTGTTATTTCGTCCGCCGTAGGATTGCAAACTTTAAACATACCGCGTTGATTTTTAACACACGCTATCATTTTTGCAGCAAGTAACTCTTTAGTGGCAAGATTTTCACAGGGTTCTAAATACACATTTTGATGCTGTTGTAATTTAGAAATTTTGACTGGGATGATCATTTCATGCATGGGGATCAACAATCTTTTTAGCAGTTTTTGCAAAATGACATTTTATTTCTATTGGAATAGAATTGTTTGAGTCAGCAATTTCAATTGTTTAAGATTTTTAACGCAGAGACACCATTCTCTATCCAGAGTTGTCTTCCGCTACGCTCACAACACCTCTGTCAACGCTCGTTGTACAAGATTCTTGTACAAATTTTAAATAGAGAATATTCGAAATTTAAATGATAATTAATTATTGTAAATATTGATAAAGATGATAATTCATTATTTATTTTAAATCCATAACCACTCAGAACGACTTATTTTCAAAGATTTTAGGGAACTATTTTGCGGAGCAAAAATTAAAATCTTAATGAAAAAAAATATTTTAAGATGTAACAAATTAAAATAAATAATGTTTTCCAATAAGAAATATAATTACACACAATTATAAATACAACTTTTAACCAAAAACACTTTTTTCAAGAATCTTGTATGACAAGCGTTGACAGAGGTGTATGTGGGAGAGAAGCGGGAACGACAACTCTGTATAAGAGAATGGCAGAGACACATTATGCATTTCCATAAAATCGACACCAATGATAACTGTTTGATTCAAGCCTTTCACCACATGAACTGGGTTCCAAAAAATTTTGTGGTCAATTTCAAAGGGAAGAATGATTTTGCCAAGAATTGGAAGAGTATTATTGCTAACTCCTTTAATGACATCATAGTCTGGCTTTAAAAGTTTATGGTCTTTAAATTCTGTTGATTTAAAGAAAGAATGGCTGATGAGAGTGATTTAAGACCCCGTGTCTACCAATGACTTGGTTTTACGAAGCCCAATCCCAATGTCAATTGTACTCCGGGATTGTAAAGCCACCGTTAAACCCAAGGTTACAGATTTCTTATCTCTGTGCCCATCCTTGGAAAATCCAGGGATAGGCGCGCACCCCTATTGTGGGATGTTAGCTCGCATTGCAGATCTACACACACTCGCAAAATGATTCCACTTCTTTTGCACTTTAAACATTGTTTCCCATTTGCGCGGCATTCGCAGTACCATTAAGGCTTCCGGAGCTGAAAATGTATTTATAACGTAACACTGCATTGCAAAGTTGATTTTGAGTTTTATTTGTAAGTTTCGTACTTCAGTACGCCAAATTCATATAGAGAATCCTCTAAGCTACTTATAAACATATTTGTTGCGATGTCACATGACCTTCTTGATCACGTGACGGTCATTTCTTCTTTTTGGAAATGTTCCTCATAAATCGCTTCGGCGCAGGCTGTTAACACAATTTTTATTGTCTTTTTGTCACATAAATAACTCAGTGCATCCTTGTGAAACCGATAAGTGCTTGGGAAATTTTAAACCTTTTCTTTGGAACAATTCATTTCATATTAACTTTAACTTACCGACAAATCTGAGGGTATTTTCCTCTGAATATCTTCATTTGTTTTAAAACAAAGCCATCATTCATTTTTTCCAAGCAGGATTCAGTTAGAGGGGAAACTCTTCTTACATATTCCACAAAAGATATTAGATAAATCCTCCTTTACAACTTGCGCCAGGCTCTTTTATACACATATTATGAATTCTGTCTCTGTTTACGCGTGTAAAAAAGGGTAATTGTCAAACGTATATTTCCGTACGTAGTTTGAACACGCTGACTCTTATACAAGAGTAATGAAGCAAAGCTATCTTAATTATTCGGATATATTAAACTTTTGAAAAAATTATATTTATTTTTAACAAGCAATCTGCAATTTTATATGCAGATTGAAATGAGGTGTAAAGTTTTTGACACTCTCCCCATTATTACAGCTCAAGTATGCAGCGACTTGACGTCATTTTCAATTATGACGTCATACGTTTGTAGTTCACAGAAGTTCATGCGGAGAGTACACTACAATATTCTCTGGGAAGCCTTATCGTACCTGCGTTGCTGTCGTGACATACAGTTACCCTCCACAACCTTGGCATTTTTGATTTTTCAGATTGTTTGCATAATTTTGAAAAGTATTGTGATTTTGTCCCGAATTTTTGAAATATCTTTTTTGTCCATTGAATCTATGATCAAAATTTTGAGCTGTTTGAAATGAATTTGGATAACGCCTAGGATGCGTAATGGCTGCTGCTGTTGCTTCTAACTGTGTGCTTAATTTTTTGATCAACCTGTCTTCTAACTCTTGAATGGAAACCAAAAATGACACATTTGCGGGTTCCGAATATTTGACAGTTTGCTCCGCCATCAATGCACTTTTTCGGAGTTTTTCTAGTGTGTCCGGGATTTGCGGAATGACTATTGTTCGAATAGATGGTTTCAACCCCTGGAATAGCCATTCCCATTAGTAAATGCATGGGTATGTAACATTCAGTCGTTAAACGCGTCACTCGAGCCAAAATAGTCTTCAATTGATTTTTCTAAATTTTGTTTTATATTTGATATGTGGATATCAAAATTCGTTTTTGACGTTTGAAAACGTTCAAGAAAGGCAGTTTTCAAACTACTAGAGAGCATTTCATACTCTCTAGTAGCTGAAAATACCACCGAAAAAGTTAACAAGTTAACAAGTTGCAGAATTGTCATGGAAAGAAGGGGTACATTACATCCAAATTCTTTTAAAACATTACTGGTTCCCCCTTTTTTAGTTTTAAGTCGTGTTAGTGTGTGGGACAGTGGAGTGAGGACTTCGTTTGATTATCAAATCACATAAAAAATAGTTCATAGTATATTTCCTTAACTTTTTATCTGTAATTAGTAATAATTAAAAAATCAAACACAATTTATGTGCAGCAGTATTATGACAGTAAAAAAACCAGCCGGAGTTTAACTTTATTTTAAACTGTCTGGGTCGATATTGATTTTTTGGAGAGAGAGAGAGAGAGAGAGAGAGAGAGATGAATAGTAACTCGACACGGAAGATAGTGGGCACCTACAGTTGGCGAATAATCTCAATCTTATGAAAAGGAAAAATGTTAATGAAACCTGAATCAAATAAATAATGACTACAGGTATAAATTGATCAAATGGACAAAGAAATTTGCATCATAAAAAAAAACTTACACATTTTTATAAATCATATTCAAGTATCGGCAAACTAAAGATATATTTTTTTTCATGTAACGTGTGTGCATGGTGGATGGACTTTTGCATGTATGCTAGAGGGTTCAAATAAATATTTGTGAGCACTGGTTCGACAAACTGAATGACTTCCAATTTTTACTACTTCATAAAATATTTTACTAGACAGACAATTCCTCCTTCTACCTTATTATTATGTTAACATCATAACACCCCCTACACCTAACTACTTCAGTGAGATTAAATTTAATTTCAGCACATAAAATTAAATTAATTCCAATTCACCGAAAGCTACAGGGGAAAAATGGAAGGTATGAAACATGTAATATTTTTGTTAAAATTCAATCATGATTAAAAAATACTTTAAGATTAAGTTTAAAAACTAAATAGTGATATTACCTCCTTGATGTGAATAAACGGAGCACTTGTCATGTATTTATAAAGTGTCAATACTGTTTGTATTTCTAAGAGAGAAAGAAAGAGGGAGCGAGAGAAAAAAGAGAAATATTTGAGAGTGGTGCTACTGCTACTAGAAGTCTTACCGCTGACCTAGTAAATATAAATATTTTCAGTAAGATTACTATATTTGCTAGTATATATGAATTTTTACTACTAGTCTGATAATTATTTATATTAGTCTCGGACTTACAGACATTGGGTACTTCTGCACCCTGCGTAATCGATGAACCAACCATTCATTTAGATATAATGTTTCAAGTGACAAAATTAACAAGGCATAGTA